GGCAAGCAAAGCAACCACTCACTGCGAAAAAAAGAAAAAAATGTGGGAGGGACAAAATGTATATTTATTTATCTTAAAATATGATGTAAAGGGGCGTACAAAATCATTTTTGGCCAGAGCTGTGGTAGAAACTTTTTACTGTTCTTCGCACTAGAGTCTAGGCCATGCTTATCTCCTTCCTTGTATACACTGGTAACAGAGATTTTATGCCATGTTTATAACTATCTTTTTTCCTCTCCACAGACGGGAAATTGTGTGTTTGACATGACCTTATATCTGTTTGAGGTCGAGGTTGATTCTGCAAGAAGATGGCTGAGAACAAGACTTTCAGATGTGGACAGTCTTACAATCACCCAATGGCTTCAGACGCAGCTGTGAAATGTCAACAGTCAAGTACTGAACCTAACAATGATACGGGACTTTTAGTTTGCCAGGCACTCTCTGATAAAATTAAACCTAACGTGTTTTCCCAAAATGGCGCGAAGAATTTTGCTCCACTATTTCCAGAAGAAGTGTACAAACGGAAAACCAAGAAAGATAATAGAGACGGAGACGAGTTCCTGGACAGGATTATAGAACACGAAAGTAAGAAGACTAGGCATTATCATGAAAACGGAAGGAGGGTTCGTAAGAGAGGTCATGAAAAGATCGATTTCGCGACGGGCTTAGATGGGCAAACAAAATGGGTGGGCAGTTACAAAAGGACCCAATTTAACCATGGTTTAAATGGTACTGAAAGTGATAGCTTACGTGACTGCCCAGTTCCTCCACGACATCGGCACGATCTCAACAAACACTTGAAACCTACCCACAAGTGCTTCCACCCTCGACATCATCATACGCACCACCAGCGCCTCCAGCCAGACCCAAACTCCCCATCAACTATAAGCAATGCTATTCTCCGCCCTGTCTCCGCTAAGACCTCTGGGCCAAGCGCTGCTACCGGTGATTTCTGTATGTCAAATCACAATAGCAAAAACCCTGCTTTGAACAGCTCTTCTCACTCCTACAACGGTTTCAGTCGGAGCCATACCGATATGGCAAAATCTGCTATTACAAACCCCATCTGCTACCCTGATGTTTTCATTGATAAAGATAATACTCCAAATTGCCACACACCAGATCCTAGCTACAGTGAAGAACTTAACAGAAAAAAGCGGCTGGAGCTTCTTGCAAACATATACGAAACTGTCAAAAGAGTGACGCGCCCACCATCTTGTTCAGAAACAGTGCACCCGGTAACATCTCGGCAAGAACCGGCTCATTCCGGTCAGTCTTCCTCGGAAGCATCTCCCTCTGACTCACCCCTGTCAGAACCTGCCATGACAGGCTCATCATCGTCAGACAACTCACCGTCAGCCTCGTCCGAATTTCTTGTCATATCTCCCTCCGGATTGGGGTTCACATGGCGTACTAGGGGTTTCAGTGATTCTCAAGTTTGTGCTGACCAGTCCACACAAAACTCGATGTGTTGCAGTAAGCCTGCAACTTCGGCCACTAAGATAAGACCCCGAAGATTAAGGAACCGTACTGTTCGAAGGAGCTATCCCAGTGAGGATAACCTTATTTCACCTCCCCCGGAATTTGAAGGGACTAGCAGTGACGAGGAAGGGTGGAGGATTGGCAGAGCTCCTGCTCGTTGGCACAGTCACGGGTCTGGTATAGACTGGACCAAACTGACCAAAGGAATCAAGCCAAAAGATGAAGACCGGGGAGTTGTTTCGAAACTGGATACAGCCAACATTTCGGGGCTCATTCAGGTAGTTAAACTGGAGAATCTTTCATCGGAACACGTAGAAAATGGGTCGTGTTTGCGTGCAGAAGGTGATGGAGTGGTGCAGACGGGAAAAAGTAGATTAATGTGTCTTTCGGCCAAGAACGTTGTACAAGTTCAAGGCCGATTTCCATTGGATGTGTCTGAGGTTGATGAGCTACAAACAAAGGTGAGGAAAATTTAGCTTTCATCAAAGCAGGTTTAAAACAATATTTTTTGGGCCTCCCAATTAAAATGTTCTCAAACTTAATTAAGGTGATACCAGTGGTTGTATTGGCGAATCTATTATTTCAGATTTTAGATAAATGGAAAGGTGGCCAGGTAGGGTACTTAAAATGTGGGTAGTGATGGTGAATTTTTTGTAATGTTGAGAACCCTTGGTCTAGGGAGTATTATCTTCCATCTGTTTTCATACATCGGTATGCGGTCTTGTGCTGTTTGGAAGTTTTAATGAGGCTCTTGCCCAGTGATTCTTAACCTTTTTGCACCGATGCACTCCTTCTTGATTCAAAAACATTACCCGCATGCGCCTCAATCTCGATTTTAGAAAGACATTTTATGCCCCCAAAGATAACATTCACTATTAAACATGCAAATAACCATGATTTTCTGCATCGTCTCTGCCACGTTTCGGCTTATTGCCCTCTGCATCCAAAGTTTAATTTTTGTCCACATCGCAATTTTGAGCCCCTTAAATATCACAGGTCCAACACCATGGCTCTGCTCACAGCACTTGAAATGCCACGTCTTACCCCCAGGTTGGGAAACCCTGTTCTTTGAAAAATATACCAGTAATTAATCTAACTTTAAAAGCCGTCAGATGGAGACCAATATATATATATATATTTACGTATAAAAATAAAGTCAAAATTGCACTTTTATGTGTGGTAGGATTAAAAAAAAATTGTAATGCCCTTAATCTGATTCTCAATATATATAATTTATTTCGAATGTAGTAATACACAGTGTTTTTTTTTTTTTTTTTTTTTTTTTTTTTTTTAAAAAAAAAACCCCTAAAAAAAAAAAAATTTTTTTTTAAAAAAAATTATTTTTTTTTTAAAAAAAAAATATTTAAAATATTAAAATATAAAAAAAAAAAAAAAAAAAAAAAAAAAAAAAAAAAAAAAAAAAAAAAAAAATTAAAAAAACCCCATCAAACAACACAACTGTTTTTTTAAATGAATGTACTTTGTGTGTAAATTATAAGTCTTGGCATTGTCAATCCATAACAAACTAACAAAGCAATTTTGGTTTAGAAGGTCAAGTTGAAATGAGCAAACTCACAAACCCTCTTCTTGATCAGTCTTTCTTGTGAAAAATATCTACACGATTTGAGCCAGCTCTGGGGATCGAGAGAACAAGTGAAAGGCCTTTAAAAACATTAACTTTAGCTGGTTTCAGATTATGTTAGAACAAAAAATCCTGAATTGTATTGTTTTTGTTTCCCGCCAAACGACCAGCGTTTCAGTTCAGCATTAATTGTGGCATTCACATCCTGTTAGTTCTATGAAGCGAATACCGAGCAGTTAACAAACTGTCAAGTCTGTCTGAAAACCACGTGGTCGTGTGTGGACACCTGCTAGCTCCCACGAACAGTAGCAGGTTATTACCGTGCTTATCGCAAGAAAGACCCTTCACACGACGTCCACTCTGTCTGGAAACTAGAAAAGCTTCATTCATAAAAAAGAAGCAGGGATTTTCTGTGGCGTAGTAAGGCTCTTTGATTAAGCGACCAATGGGGTGACATGTATGTGCAATACTAACATCAATACAAGAATTGCACCTGTTAAAAATAAATATTACACACAAAAAAATTTGAAGATAATTTATATCAATCAGTGAATTAGTGAAACAAATGTGCTGTTAAAAGATGGCTATTTCGTGATCTTTATTTTTCTATCATGGTTTTAATAATTTGTCATTTTAATTTTAGCTTTTTCTTTGCTTGTCTTTAAAAAAATGATCCTAGCAAACTATTTAATAAACACCATAAACAGTGGCGACGCCATCAAATTTAACATGGCGGGTCCCTTGCAGGTCTTAAAAAAATTTGGCGGGTCCCAAATAAATTCTCTTACATGTAATGTAGTTACTAATATTGTATATATGCTCATTAAGGGTATAGTAACTAATAAAAATTTACCAGGTCATTTGCCAGGTCCCAAGTTTTTTTACCAGGTCCTGGGACCCGGTGTGACCTGGTGTAGCGTCACCACTGACCATACACAATAATAATCCTACGTCAGTTGAATGTCTGCAGTGTTCTTACACAAAGACTCAGCTACTAACAGGAGAGGTGTACCCAGGTTATTGCAAGACAAAGCACATGCCGTGAGCGCTGCCCCAGGACACAAGATTGGCGAGGCTGATTAAGACATTTTTACACGCTACTTGTTTTTCTTTTTCACTCGTTAAGCCCATATGCCGGTATTAAGCTAAACTGTTGCACATTTTATGTCATGCGGTAAGTCTAAATTATGTAAAAATAGGTGCAAATCTAGTTCTTGCCATGGGCGCCATATACCCTCGGCACGCCACAAACCGACAGTCCAAGTTAAAGGTTCGCGTGCTCTTAATATGGACGTTTTACAACCCAACATCGCTTTTACTTGAGAATCGCTGTAGTCAATAATTTCAACATGTAGTATCATGGGCACGTCTCTCCCACTAAATGTCAAACATTATAATAATCCTTTACACAGCAACACTCCGTCTCCTGACTTTTGACATGCTATACAAAAGAATGTTTTCCTTTTAAAACCTTCGTATAATAAAGTTATCTGAGATTTTAAGAGCATGATTGCTTGCTCTCAAATTATTTTTGGAGAACGATACGTGGCTGGATTAATTTAAACCTGTTTGGGCTGTTTACGACGATCGTCAATAACGTGTAGGGGTGGGGGTCCCATCTCACTGAAAGAAGGCTGGGGGGGGGCTGCATTTTGAGGTAGTGGGGAGTACTGTTTTGAGGTAGTGGGGAGTACAATTAAGAGGGAGTGTGAAGTACTATTGACGTTATTTAAGGTGATAGTCTCGGGACAGGCATGGCCAACCGAAAAGGCTTCGTGGGACACTTTGATATCGTGTTAAATGTTTGCAGGCCGCATGTCATTATACCTTATATTAAAATAATCACCCATTAAATGCTGTATAGAAATGTGTTACAGCCTGTGGCATGCGACCTAACCCCCACCCTCTTTGTTTTTGCAACTCACGTCACCATTTACGCCCGCCACTTCTTTCCCCCACCACACTTGATTGGGAAAGTTGGTTTACGTTTCCAGAATGGTATACATTATACTAAATAGAGGGAGAAGTACTCTCTGACGATCGAATTTCTAGACTTTCTGTTCTGGGGGGTGGGGGTGTTCTGACTTCATCACAATAAATTAGAAGGTCGACTAAAACCGACAGACTAACGAGACTTAACAGAATTACAGAAGCCCTATAAGGTTTACAATATTTTTTACTGTGTGTGTAGATTAATATTTGTACATTTATGGTATTATACCCTTTCACTTGCTGTGCTGTAAGTTAATATAGTCATTATTTCTGTTATTCAATATCAACTTAATGACGCAATCAATTGTTAATATCACTAGCTTTGGTGTCTTTTTTTCTTTTTATGCTTGCTGTCAATCATTTGTTATAACGTATTTTAATCTAAATCTAATGAGCCAGATATGACGCAGATTAAATTTGTAAAACCATATAACGGTAAGTAACAAATGTTTATCTCCTCTAATGCACACAATGAAATGCTAAATAACACAAGAGAATAAAACTAAACTAATGCGACGTAATTTTAATTTTTCACTGACTTATCTTTTTAATATCGATTTCTTAGTCAGTCGAATGAAGTCCTGAACGTTTATTGGCGATAAATCAGGCACCCAAGGGCCGTAATGTTTGACCCCTGCATTAAAAGCCGTGTGATGGTGTCCCTTTGAAATTTTTTGGGTAAATTGTTGGATTGGTGACACTGGTGGGGAATCCAA